GCATAGCAACCCCCTAGCAACTGCCCCAGGTACCCTAGCAACCGCATAGCAACACCTTAGCAACCGCCCCGGTACCCTAGCAACCGCATAGCAACACCCTAGCAACCACCCCGAACACCTTAGCAACCGCCCGGGGTACCCTAGCAACAGCATAGTAACACGCTAGCAACCGCATAGCAACACCCTAGCAACCATTCCAGGTACCCTAGCAACCGCTGTAGTAACCACCCCAAGTACCCTAGCAACCGAATAGCAACACCTTAGCAACCACACGGGTATTCTAGCAGCTGCATTTCTATCTATCTATCTATCTATCTATCTATCTATCTATCTATCTATCTATCTATCTATCTATCTATCTATCTATCTATCTATCTATCTATCTATCTATCTATCTATCTATCTATCTATCTATCTATCTATCTATCTATCTATCTATCTATCTATCTATCTATCTATCTATCTATCTATCTATCTATCTATCTATCCTCTGACAGACTGTATTGCCTTAAAAACTTTCAAACTTTAAGCTTTTAAAACTACTTTAAACTTCAAACTTGACAAACTTTTTAATCTAGTTTATTATTTACATCCTATATTTTCATTATTTCATGTTTCTATTCATAATTTTATGTTTAAAACATTAAATTCTTTTAAGTTAAGAAAAAAAACCCACATCTGAATAGCTGAAGGCTTTTTCCTAAGTGTGATTTACAGTTTTATGGCCAACTTGGGTTTTCGTGGAGTCTTTATTAAGTTGAATATTGTGCATACTTTTGGTGCAGTATGAGACTGAATGAGTTAATGCTTGAGTTATAAGCGGTCCTTAAGCTGTTTCATCAACTGTGTATCTGTATATCTGAATCATTACGTGGTTTCATAAATCGTCTGAGATTGTCTGTAAATTATAATTTGACAGGTGGTGGAATTAAATTTTAATGGAGAGCACTTAAAAGACTAAGCAAAGGGCTGGATTCATTCTGAACATTTACACCAGTGTGAGCTGAGTGTGTTTTCTTTAGATTTTTTACTCAACAGAGATGAGATCTACAGACATGTTTGTAACAGGCATGAATCGGAGAATATTTTGATTTCCATTTCAGAATGCAAAAGTGATTTATTAATCTAAATGACAGAAATTTTGAATAATCATAAGGGCACGTGCACACACTCTAAAAAATGTTGGGTTATTTTTTCTACCCAACCGCTGGGTTAAGCCTGTTGGGTCATTTTATTGGGTTATTTTCTCAGCGTTGGGTAGTTTTTTGTGTAACCCAGCCGCTGGGTTACCAGTTGGGTCAATTTAGTGACAGTTGACGCAGTGAACCCCTCCCCCTCCTCGACGCCTCAACTCTACCTTCGCGGGCATTTTGAATCGCCTCAGGAGTCATCGTTTTTCAGCGAGGACAGCTGTTATTCGGAGAAAAAAAAGGTATGTTTGTGTGTTCCAAACCGTGTTTTTGTCCTGTCCTGAAACACTAGGGTGAGTAAGTTACAATAAGTGTTTATAATCTGACTAACGGTACTTTACACCTGTTGGACTGGGGAGTAACCTACTTGCAGCACTGGTCATATCCATAAATGGAGAGAAGTAGCAGTCATGGCTTGTTTTATGTCTTAAGATGTTGAGACGTGGCTTTATATAAAGCATATGAGTGAGTTCATGTGTGACATATCTGCAATCTTAAGGCTGATTTATACTTCTGCGTCGGACCTATGCCGTAGCCTTTACGCCGTAGGCTATGCGTCAGTTTTCATTTATACTTCTGCGTCGTTGTCCGCGTCAACGTGCAGTACACATGCAAACCGCTACTCTGCAGTGTTGCTGATGTATCCCGCAGTACCACGGCAAAAGCCGAAGAAGAAGCGGCTCGTCGGAGAAGCATTATAGCCGTGACGGCGGCAAATAAATATCAAATAATTATTTAAAACTACAAAAAGGAGACAACAACGGAACAGGAGATGATGGCATTCTTTCAATCTGCACAAGGACTTGTACCACGGCAGATCAACATTGTTTGTTGCAGACAACTACTGATGTATAATGCTATGTAGTATAATAAATGATAAGACACTTGTTCTTTGCTTTGTTTTATTTTATATAAGAAGGTGTAACATTAAAATATATTAAAGTGCACATAAACACACACAAAACTCAAGTACATATGGAGGGAGGGGTTCTTGCAGACCAATCACAGCGCTTGCGGTCCGCGTAGAATTGACGCGCTGTTAGATTTTTGGAGAGGTGCACGTCAGGCTACGGCGTATGGGTGTGCGTCTATGCGTAAGCTACGGCGTAGGTCCGACGCAGAAGTATAAATCAGGAAGGTGCACTTACGTGCAAATTTAAAACCATAGTTCTATAGCACGAAAAATTTAGATATAGCAAAGTTATGTTTTATTAATTAACTACATGAAGGCAATGAATATGTCTGTTTAATAATCTGTTTTTCTCTGTGTAAAGTAATTAATTACATATTTGCCGAAACAAATGAAACCTGTTCAAAATATAGTTTGTCAGACAATAATAATAATAATGTTTGCCTCTTGAATATTAAATGTCCCTGTTTAGTGAAAGAGATTTGATTATGCAGCAATAAACTAGCCAGTATGTCTTAATGCATGTGTTTTTGACCTTTGATAATTGAAAACATGATCAAAACAAACATGTTTTAATGAGAAAAGTTCAAATAAGTGAGCAAATGAAAAATATCTGTATCGGGCAAAAAAATTCTTATTGGTGTATCCCACCAGAATAATAATGGATAATTTTGTACAGGAGAAGCTGAAAGAATGGAACTTGGATGTCCTGATACCAAGCTTTAAAGGTAAACTTTATTTAGGTAAAATGAAAATGCACCTCTCTATATGTTCATTATAACCTATTGTGAAAAAAAAACTTTCTGACCCCAAACTATTGAACAGTAGAATATATTGAATAGATTTATAAAACAGAACAATGACCAATTATAACTACATCAGAACATTAAGTAGATATTATAGATACTTATTATAGATAAATCAATCCCCTAAGGGGCACCAGTAGAGCTCTGCCTGATCTCTGATCTTCTGGTTCTTCTGCTCCTTCCACCGTCCCAAGTCTCTTACGTTACGGACTACGGAGCCACTTTAATAGAAGTTTACATTTTAGATGCTGTGGCCTGGCTGCTATTTGTTCCAGCATCCACCTGAGAAAGAAAACAACAATTAAAATGTAAACGTGTATAAAAAACCCTAAACAAAACTCAAGTTTCTACCTCAGGAAGTCTCCCAGGGCACTAATATTTTTGTGGAACTTTTTTTAATGTTAAAAGGGATTAAAAGCGTGATGATTCCAATATAGAAGTGGATGATGGTGGATTGTGAGCCCCAGAATCCAACGCGGTTAATAATTTTGTATTGAAATCTCCCGGATTTGGTGAGTTCAAGATAATATACTGTTCAATTTGTTGGAATTGAGTGTTTATGTGTTATATTGATGTTCTGATGTGTTTTTATTAGGGCTGGGTTTTGACACAAATTTCACGATTCGATTCGATTTGATTCTCATTCACAAGCTTGTGATTCGATTCGATTCAATATCGATTATTTTGGATAAATATCAGGTATAGTACATGACTAATTTTCTAAAATATACATGAGTCAGTTGGTACTACATTACTATAATATTGAAGGTTAAAATTGACTGATTTGTTAAAATTACACTTAATGAAGTTTTAAAATAATAAAGTTACAATTACATAATATTTCTACTTCAATCCGTTTTTTTGAAATATAAACAATGGTGGCTGTCATAAAAACTTAATTTTGCGTGTTTTCTTTTTTCGTAAGGTTATGCCCTTCTCGTTTTACACTTCATGCATGTGGACTGAATATTAAACAAGTTAGTAATGATAACATAATGTGTACCATGCTGACTTGTAGAGGCTCCGTAGATTTGCACGTAACAAGCCTAAACAGACAATGAATGAGAGAGAGATCGACTGAGCGCGTGCGATTACTTGCGTCTGTCCTCCAGGCCGAGTCATATATATTTGTGAAAATAGTAAAATATACATGAGAGTCAGTTGGTACTACATTACTATAATATTGAAGGTTAAAATTGACTTGATTTGTTAAAATTACACTTAATGAGGTTTTAAAATAATAAAGTTACAATTACATAATATTTCTACTTCAATCCGTTTTTTTGAAATATAAACAATGGTGGCTGTCATAAAAACTTAATTTTGCGTGTTTTCTTTTTTCGTAAGGTTATGCCCTTCTCGTTTTACACTTCATGCATGTGGACTGAATATTAAACAAGTTAGTAATGATAACATAATGTGTACCATGCTGACTTGTAGAGGCTCCGTAGATTTGCACGTAACAAGCCTAAACAGACAATGAATGAGAGAGAGATCGACTGAGCGCGTGCGATTACTTGCGTCTGTCCTCCAGGCCGAGTCATATATATTTGTGAAAATAGGTTGTCATGTCCAAGGAAAGCGAAATCTCTGTCTTAGCATGGACGCATAGCTGGTCTGCTGAGCCTTCTAAAGTGGCGCTCAAAGTTAAAATGATCTCAACAGCGTGTTTCATTATGTCTCTCTTTGAATGAATGAATCAGCGTTTTTGAACGTGCAGTTGAATGACAGTCCATTTCCACCACCTTGTGGCGCAACACTGTAACTACACTAACTGACAGACCGTCTAGAACACGCGCAGGTGGAAATATCAATAGAAAGTCTCTTGTCCAGTCAGATTAGAAAATCAGATTACAACTAGGCTAACTGTTATACATATAGGCTAACGATAGCCTAACGATCTGACCGAAAATGTAACATTGAATCTCCACATCAGGAATATTGGATAACAAAATCAGATAACAAAAACCAGTTAACAAAACTGTATTAATTAAAAATTTTTTATCAATCTCAGAGGTTAACAGAGGAAGCCATGAAATAGCAGAAAGCAGTAGACGAAGTGATCAAAAATGAGCAAAGTTTATTGAATAATCTTAGCTGCGTATGCATGTTTCAGTGCTCAGACAAATTTTTATTCCTACTTTGTTTTACCAGCACGTCTTACTTTGAAATAGAGACATTCTCTTAGTCGTGAAGACAAATATCCTTGAAACCACAAAATCATAAGGTTACATTTCAAAAGCATAAGTAAAGAATATAATAAAAATGAATAAGTGATTATATGATTAAATGGAATAATTTAATTATATATGATTATAATTTAACAAAAAGCATAAATAAAAACAAAGAAAATGGTCACGCTCTTGAAACAACACACAGAGGTTGCTGTTGAGAATCCTCAGAATGAATTTCCCCCCTCTCGATCATATATGAAGCATTACATGATTTAAATGGAAGCGATCTTTCATAGTCATTATGAAGATATACTTTGAAAAGCTCAAGTGATTGCTTCATTGAGCTGAAGCACAAGGCTGCTTGAAAGAACTTCTGTTCAGAGCAGATTTGAATATTGTCTGTTTCTTTTGGATGACATGCTGATTGTTAAAGGAGGGTAGATGAGAAATCAATCAAAAGCGTAAAGACTTAACTGTCGACCTACAAATCAACAGTGTTAGAGGCAGAACAACATATATCTGTTATCGAAAAAGCACTGGGCAATCAAAAGCCGTGCAAGCAAAGTTAACTGATCTAAAGCTTCCTTGAGACAGAACAGCTTCTGTATTTATGGGGCTCCAGAAGGATCTGAGGGAGTCAACCTATTGGAGCTTGTGACAAGGCTTGTAAAGTTGGAGCTTTGTCTGTTGTTAATGGATATGGATCCCAGAATACAGCGCTGCTTCATGAGATACCAACTCACTGGTGCTTTGCTTTCTAGAACAGGGTTTTCAAACCTGCCCTGGACGACCCCCAGCTCTGCGCGTTGTATGTCCCCCTCATTAGACACACCCAATTCAGATCTTGCAGTCTCTAATAACGAGTTGATGAGTTGAATTTGGTGTGTTAGATGAGAGAGACATACAAAATGTGCAGTGCTGGGGGTCCACCAGGACAGATTTGAAAACATCTGTTCTAGAGTACACAGTGAAACAACAGGTGCTGTACACAGTTTGATTTGAAGGGAAGACGGTCTGCCCTTAATGTCATAATCTGGACAAGACAGATATCTGAATTTTGAATATAATATTTCCCATGTTCAAAAACAATGTTCTCCACCTCAGAAATATTGCCAGGTTACAGAACATACCAGTTTAAGATGCAGAATAGATAGTTCATGGAGTAATGACCTCAAGACTATTGCTGAGTTCAAGTCCTCCTGGGACGTTCGTACTTACGAGTTGACAAGTCGTAATTACGACGTCAGGTGCATCCATCGATTCCGCCATGTTTCTCATTGACACGCCCCCAACTCGGAAACTCTGGGCTTAAAGAAAATTTTGAGTTTCCCACTCGTAATAACGACTTTGTG